TTCCTTTGTGTTTAACTTGGCTGCTAAACACAACCCCCCCCCCCCAACAAAATAAAAAAATGAAGCTTCCCAGGCAGAAAAAGCAGAATAAAAAGAGAAAGGTCCCCTATTAACTAAACTGAAGAGACTCAGTGTCACAGGACCACAGAGCAATGAGAAATAGCAATCAGGAAGCTTGTTATTATTGGGAATAGCAGAAGAGAACTTTTTGTAATTTGGTCTGAAATCTAAACAGCTATGAATTTAAGACTGAGGTTATTGGATGAAGAGCAGTTTTAAAATCAAGGGTTATTCTTGGAAGCTAAAGTTCAAGAACACAAACAGAACAAATCAGAGTTTTAAAAAATGGCCAAGTTCTTGGAAAAGTAGCACTGTTAAATTCTGTAAACACAATGGCTTTGCAGTGTGTTAAGTCACCAAAGTAGGATGGTACAATAGAACCAGTCTTGTTTGCTATAGCTCTTGCAGAACGCTGTGGGTCTGATGCTCCTTATTAGCTCTCTTTAGTTTCAACTGACTACATTTACACAACTTATTTTTCACTGTGAGATTTTAAATTTGCCTATGTTTTAACCCACTTTAGAGCCAAAATACAAATAATTTCAAACCAGTTGATACAACCCCACGTCTTCCGGGTGACCCCTTTAATATTCTGGAGAACAGGTCATTGCAAAATGTAAAACTAACAGCCTTACTGCAGCTCAAGGAGACTGATTTTCAAGAACTAGAAGGTCTTGTTACAGCCCAAATCTTTTTTTAAACACTCTGAAGCACAGCAGAAAATGCCAAGTACAAAATAAACAAATAGCATCCACAAAGACCACAAATCTGACCACAAGAACACGAGCAAATACACCAAAGATAGTTAGACTATGGAAGTGTGAATAAAGAAGGGAACTACCTTCGGCCTTTGCTTTAACTTGAGAACAACCATATACATCAGTAGTACACAAACACAGACAATTTACTGACCACGTTCTATAACAGTGGTTCCCAATCTTTTTTTTTTTACCACGACCCAGCAGGAGCAGGATGGGGTACGCAGAGCCGGCTGCCTCCCTCCTGGGGCTTCCTTGCTGCCCAGTTTTAACCCTGGAAACTTGGCTGTGACCACAGAAGCCACCTGCCTGGGTGGACAGAGGGGGCTCTGAGAGGGGGCTCATGCAGCCGGGCCGCAGCCCAGTAGTTGGGACCTCTGTTCTAGAAGCCCAAGAACTGCAACAATTTGCTTAAATATTGATATAATTGTTAGGTTTGTCAATTAATTGTGGGTAACATGTGTGATTAACGTAATAGTAGTTGCTTGCATTCATTTTTTTAACATGTTAATCATCCATGTGGTTTTGGAGCCCACACCCCAGCTCCACTTTGCCACTGTCACTGCCACCTCTGGGCTGCCCTGCAGGGAGTGGTGGCAGTGCAGAGGACTGCAGGGCAGCCCAGGTGTGGGCTCCTGGTGGCTGCAGCGGGTGGGAGGGGTGCACACAGACACAGTCATGCAGCTGCAGCCTGCAAGCAGCCAGGAATGCAGCCCAATGGTGTGTGGAGCAGTGCCCAACTGGCATGTCTGTGAAGGGAAAGGGGTATGGG